TAATCAATAAATTAAAAAATTTAAATATTATTAAAAAAAATAAAAACTTTAATAAGTTTAACAATAATAATAATGATAATAAACACATCTCAGAGGGAACCCGCGTATTTAAAATCTTAGCCTTCTCCATACGTATGCTCATCCTCATCCTCATCGACCGGCCGGGGTGCTGCTGGCCTCCCCGCTCGAGTGGGAGGATGCTCCAACATTTCTTTCAACGTTTTGTATTTCATTCCAAGACCCAAATGATTCAGCGACAGCCAAACGTAAGTGAGAAGTTCTCCACCCTGACTTGGTTGCTGTGCATGGACATATGAGCTGCAAGTAACAGCAGCAAAGAACATTAAATGTACCCAAACTTTGCTCATTAACTCCCACGAATAATCATAACCCCCCTGCTTCTCGTTCTCGTTCTTGAGCCAGCAGGCAAGATCAACTGCATCAGATAATCCGGGCTTGTCCTCTTTTTCTTTCTTCAACCCGAAAAAGATCATTTTGCAGGCAGTCTTCTTATTCGAGAAAAAACTACAGGGTACTAATGATCGAGTCTCCTTACATATTTTTGTAAATTCCTCTTTCCAATCGTCCAATACATCGGCCATCATGCTGGGCTGCACGCCTACTGCAAGGTAAAACATATAATCTGAAAGTAGCTTGCAGATTGATCTGTAATCAGTTTCTTCAGACTCATGTCTCCACTGGTCATTAACGTCTTGGAAGCATAATTCAGTGCCTACATGCCACACTAGGAGGGTTCGTGAGAAATTATCAAATTTGTAAATGAACTTGTCGATCAATTCCTCGGCTAGTTTCCTTTTGCAACATTCTTCGGCTGGTTTCCCTTTGATAACCTTCCAAAAAAGATCTATAAATTCTTTTTTTGACAACCAATCTTCTTGCTTATTCTCCATATGCCATTCATATTTGTCCGACAATTCTTTCCAAATGAATTGCCAGAGTGCGTCCCGGAAATTTTGATAGGACAGACATCGGAAATTAGTATATATGCTTTCCAACAGGCTCCCCATGAAGTACTCATCCAGATTTTTCAACCAAACTGGACAATCTTTCACATGATACGTGAAAAAATTTAACTGGGAAACTTCTTTACGCCACCTGCGCCTATTGATAAATGCTTTAGGCAACACGTGCTGATCTTGGAGGCGAGCAATAGCAATCCAATCGGAGCTTTTGATGAATAGTATGATAGACAAGACATCCAACGCCAAGGCGCCAATCAGCAACACATAGGTTAGCAAGATGTCAACCAACCCCAACTGGTAGTGCTTCTTAACTAATGAGAATGAAAGCAAGGCTACCACGATGCAACTGAAACTGGCAATACGGAAAATGAATCCAATCGCTGAAGCAATCACAGGCACCTTTGTGTGAAGAAGCTCATACAAGAGGCTTAGCTCAATTTCAATTATTTGAAGCGCATCACGAGAACTTCTACCTTGGCAAGGATAAAAAATAGGTGTGATTTTCTCCTCCAGTTCTTCCTTCTTTGGAGCAGGGCCAATGATGATACCCTTTAAACTGCCAAGGAGTAGAACTGCAGTTTTTAATATCCCTCCGTTGTTCTTCACGCCTTTGAATTGTACTGGAATGGGAATTCCATCTGTAGCATTAGTTGCCTCCCATTTTTCTCCGAAGTGGTCTAAACTTGCATAACGAAGAGCAACATTTCGCTCAACGTATTTTACCACGCCAGCAAATAACACGAGAGTTGCCAACCAAAGCTCGTGCCTTGAGAGGGACGTTAAAATGGCACAGATGGTAAAACCGAACTGTAGCACCAGCGTAAGCAAGTGTCTTTGCCATAACTTATTATCCTCTAGAGAATAAGAGGTAATGTTGTCTGGACCGCCAAGGTGCAACAAGAGAAAGGGTGCCCAGAAAGCCAAGATGTCACTCGGAGGGCCGTCCATTGTGGAACTTTTGTGCTGGACGATGAATCCGATGGTAGATACAGCAACCCAATCCGCGAACAAGTACAGACCCCAAATAAACAATTTTCTCCACCAACTGCGAATTCTCTGTCTAAACGTTGCAAGCCAAAGTAAGAGGGCCTGCACAGAGAAGCTTATAATGATGAAAACTCTAATACTCCATGTGTCCCATAGCTTCTGAACATTTTCAGGAATAGAGAGTACTGGTGCCATCGTTTTCTTTGCCTGGTTATTTTCTTTGCCACCCTTGTTCTGATGAAGTTTATTTTTTTTATTTTGGCCTGATTCTGGAGTAAGTTTCAGCCTGAAGAGAAAGAAGACAGAATCCAGATGCTAAAGTAAATATTGGCTTTTTAAAATTATGATTATTCCCTCACAGAGCAGAAAAAAGACATTTCAAAGAGGAATCATCCTTGGGGAAAAAAAAATTCATATCCCTACTATACTCTGCATCGAAGAAATGCAAATAGAAAGACGGTTAATTTGACAACTTCGTAATCTTGCTTTAGGACACTGATACATATATTTTGTAAAGTTACACATTCCATTACACATTAAAGGTCTCCATTACTTAATCCATTACATAGTTCACCAAAAATGAACTACTGTTCTAAGCACAAAATTAGAATCTACAAAGTTCCAAATAAAAAATTGATCATTTAAAATATAAATCAATGTCTCTTGAACATTTAAATAATATTTTAGCTTAATACAATGGTGAGCTTTTGTAGATCAAACAAAATGGCAAAGCCGCATATAGAACCAAAACTGTAGAAAATCATATCACCAAAAATGAGTTACTGTTCTGAATACAAATCAGATCCTACAAAACTTTAAACAAAAAACTAATTGTTCAAAATATAAATCAATGTCTCTTGAACAATCAAACAAAATTTCAACTCAATCCAATGGTGAAATTTTGCAGATTGGACAAAATGGAAAAGCTGTGTATAGTACCAAAACTACATAAAAACAAATCACCAAAAATGAGTTATTGTTCTGTGCACAAAATTAGAACCTACAAAACCATAAACAAAAAACTGACCGTTTAGAATGTAAATCAATGTCTCTTGGATATCCAAACAAAATTTCAATTCAATCCAACGGTGAACATTTGCAAATTGGACAAAATGGCAAAACTGTAGAAATTTCCCCTGTTTTCTTTTCTTTTTCTGTGGATTGACTCCACTCACATGTACTCCAGTTTCTGGTATATATATCCCCAAAACTAACTTGTTTTATGTGTCCTCTATTTTCTTATCCCTTTTCTGCTGATTGGCTTTACTCACATGCACTCCACTTTCTGCTATATTAAAACTCTGATTATTCCCCCAATAGTGCTTCTAAATCACAGGGCATAAAAAAGACATTTCAAAGAGGAATCATCCTTGAAAAAAAACACACACACATACATATATATATATATGAGAAAAATACATATCAATCTCAACTCTCAAAAAGAAATTAGAATTTTAATCTTAAACTATGCAGTTTTATTTAATTAAAACTCAATTTAAAAATTAAAAATTTATTTGATTAAATATTGATATTTAGATTTAAAAACTGATTGAATTTTTGAATTTTGAATTAGGATTTTAGTTTCTAAATATAGGTTAAGACTTCAATTTTTTTTTAAAAAATCAAAATTGATACACATTAACCTCTATATATATATATATCTCTACTATACTTTGCATCAAATAAATTCGTACAAAACGAAAATGAAATTGTTGATCAAAATAGTTTGATTTATTAGCAAATAAGTGTTGTTTTATACATTAAATTTAGAGAGTTTAAGTCTTATTATAGCAGTTAAAAAAAAATTTTCTTGAACACTACAAGTCAATGGGGGTGTGACTTAAGATTATCTAAGCAAGGATAAATCTTGAGATTTGCAAATACTAGCAAATACAAAAAAAATGATATAATTATAAAGTTATGTGATATTATAAGTTGATGTGTCATTATATATATATTTTCAATTGGTAAAAAGAAAAATTGCTTTCATAATATGAGCTTGTTGAACAACTAACATAAAAAGATTTAATAAGAAAAACAAATCATGCAAGTGTATGTATCCAATTTCACTTGAATTCATCACTATAAAAATTTTACATAATGTAACAAAATGTAACAAAACAATGATTTCATGGAAATCTCAACCCTAATGCAATTCCTATAAAAATATTGATCTTAACAACTAACCGAAAAACTGCTAGAAAAGATTGACTTCTTATATTGCACTTTTAGATCTATTTGAGATATGTCTTTAAATTTGATATTATAGATGGCTAATAAATAGCACGCATCATAAAAACCAATTTAATGCTGGGAAACCTCCTTTAGAAACTTAAGGAGTATAAATACACTTATAAAATTTTAAAAAAAGTTCAAGCAGCACCAAACACTCAAAACTCCAAGCCATGCTTCAGCTATTGAGAAGCTGATCCTTGCTTCTGGCTTTTGAAAATTGGAGAACCAAGAATTTAGGGCTTGTTTGGCTCTGGTTTTTTGGAGTTTTAGTTTTTTGATATTATTCATATTTTATAAGTTTAAATTTTTTTCTTAAAAACTTATATTTTTAAATTTTTTTTTAACTTTAAAAATTTTTTAAACAGTAAAACCTGAAAAGCTTCATATCCAAGTTTTTTATAAATTTTCTTTTTACTCACTTTTTTTTATTTTTAAAAATAACTTTTAAATTTTCCTTCTAATAAAAATTTAAACTTATCACTTATAAATAGTACAAAA